TACCGACCAGATCGGATTATACCTCCACGTTTTGTACTTAAAACGTTTTAATTGTCGACGCCTACAGAGAGCAAATATGAAGCGAGAACAAGCGTTTGCAATTATCGTTACTTAACTTTATTATACATTTTTATTGATTACAAATTTATTTTCGTAATCTATAATCTAATTTAGATTCGCAATCAATAGTAAATACAATTTCGTCAGCGCAATAAATTTAAGTAATAATTATCGTAAATAAATTTAAAGCTTGACTTGTGAAATCAACGCGAAACGCGCGCTTGACGCCTTAAATCGTGAGCTTTTTTACTTTTCAGCGAGTTTTCGTGTACGGACAATCAAAGTACAAGAATAATGCTTGAGATTTATAAACTCAGAACCTTTCTTAAGGCCTAATTTAAATCAATTGCGATTTATCGCAATTAGCGAACACAGCAATTAAGCGAGCTTCTTCAGCGATTTTCGTTTTCATTTGCAAAAGTATTTAAATTAGAATGTTACATTGTGTTAACTGTATAATAAGGGAACATAACATAATGCGGCAATGAGACGCGATTATTCGCGATTAAAAACGCAGGCGTTTATGCAAATACATGGAATCATCATTAATTAATGCCTCGGTATTTTAGAATTTCAATTATCTTGGAAGAGAGAAATTTTTGTCTTAATTTATTGAAATAAAGACGACACGCCATTTTTATTCTAACTTTGAGTTTTAGATTCACAAAGTATAAGAAAAATAAATTAACAGCAATTAAATACAATTAAAAAGAAACGCAATTTTTTTATTGACGTATAATAAAAAGATACTTTTTCTCGACAAAACTTTTCTGTTCATTTTCTTACGTATTTGTATAAAAGTCCGCAATCTGCTTATGATACTTAAAATCTTTGACGAATTCTCTCGACCATCGTGTTGCGAAATAGATGATTCGCAATTGAACGCAAGTATTCTATTTTTAGAGCTTAAGCAGGTTATTTGCTACTTTGCGTCATGTCAAAATTAAAGGTATAGATAGATTTCGTGACACGTGTCAGAGCATATAATCGTTGATCGTACGAATACTGCGAAGCAGCACAAACTACATAAGTAGTCACGTCCTACCGATAGCCTAGCCATAAAAAATTCATCAGAGGGGCTATAATGCCCGTGATCATCGCGTTCGTAGAAAACACGATATACACGCGGTTAGAGGGAACGATGCAATATAGGATATATTTTACGGGACGGAGATTATTTTTAAGTATATTTTTCGACGAAGGATTAGGCTACACATTTTAGCCAGTGAAATTTAGACCGTATGCAATTTGATTCGTTCCTTAATGACATATCATAGATTTGTATAGATCTACATAGATGTGCGAGGGAAACGCGTATTTTCTGATTTGCGAGGCATTGTTCGCGCGATTAACTACCCGGTCCACTTTTACCGATGTTTATTAATTTTACTCTCGGTTTAATTTGCTCTTCATCTTTTCATTAGAATGAAATAGATAAGAGGTAAGTTGAATCGAGATTAAAGTTAATCCGCATTAATGGAAATGGACAAATGATGTCTTCTTAAGGAGCGGCTTAGACTTAACACATTAATGAAGTATATAGTATCACCGGAGCAGCACGTAGTGTATGATATCGGAAAATTGTACAGATAAATATATATTTTTTTTTAATTGCGATATATATACATATATACATATATAAAATGAATGAAAGAATACAGCGAATCAATGTGATGACCCCCTAATTGGCGATAGTTATTATTTTAATTTCCACCACAAAGAAAGTGCATCAAACAACACACGCGTGGCTGCACAGAATAGATTATATTAACTTTCTATGTGCTGCATATTTCATTTTACCTTTCCCTCACTATTCCATATTGTAATAAATTCACTAATTTTTCGGTGCCAAACACTGATTAATCACACCAAGTAGCATAGAATTTTCTAAAGCCGCAGCCACCCTTTCCTTATCCGCAAGTTGCTTGTTTACTGCTGCCTCCGAAAAGTGAGTACCTGGGGATATCTCCACACTAACCTTGAACCTAGCAGGTAATGCGCGTAACAATTGTACTCGAATTGACAATCCAATCAAAGTAGCCATACTGCAATGTGGAATTGTAGGTGTAAACTTTACATCCACTTTGTTCCTTTTGTCATCAACCTATAGTATCAAATTTTTAATAATTCTAAAATATAGTAATACAATATATATTTTTTTTGGCAATATCTTACCTCAATGAGATTCTGTTCCACCACATTTAATTCCTCTAAAGTCAAAGGATGCTCTGGATCGTTGATATTCCTAATTATATCTGTAAATTATCAATATTTTCAATATTTTCATCTTATTTATGATAAAGATTATTCTTTAATAAAATATAGTAAATGATAAAGTAAATAAAGTAATAAAGTTCTAGTTAATAAAATATCTTGAAATAATATTTTGAGTATTTCTAAGCAAGTTTATAAAATCGGATAAACAGTTTAATATTCAGTTATCTATAACATATTTGGAGGTTACATACCGAAAATCTCTCGCGCGTCAAATTCATCCGCAACATCTTCGTCATGCTCTTCAGCTGTAATTTCTCGAGCATCCAATTTCTTGTAAAGTTTCGGATTAATGTTCTCTAAATTCTCACTCATTGCGTCACTCATTGAAAAATCTTCATAATTTGCCTGCACAGATCACAAATGTGTGACTGCCCACAGATGCTTTGTACTTTGTTACACTTTCTGCACGTAAAATGAAATAAATAATAATGTAATTATACGTTCGAGAAAGAAGGCATAATACAAAATACAAACACTTCAAAAAAGCAACATCCTTACCTGCCAAAATGGCGCGCAGTGCGAAAGAGAAGGTTAGAAAAAGAGGTTAGCTCCGTAGATCACTACTTGGGAGTCATAACCTTTCGGGCGCACAAATGAAATTCAGTTTAGTCAATCAAAAATGAAATGTTAGCCAATTCGAAGGAGCACATCGATAAATATGCTTTCGCAAATCACCCGGAACGTCCTCGCGTCAAGTGTCTCTGTGTTGTTGAAGCAGTCGTTACGTGAAACTCAGAGTCGGACATGGAGCCGTGCTGTTCACATCAGTCAGTACCGGGGTAAGAAAAATGACAAGAACGACAAACCATCAGCCCTCGTTCTCCATGCCTTTGCGAATATCGAGAACAAGGAGAGGGAGACCTTCCTGGACATCCTGCGCCAGTATAAGAACAACAATGAGATGAGACGTGGTCACGTGGAGTTCATTCAGGTGGCCCTCAAGTACATGGATGAATTCGGCGTGAACCGAGATCTGGCGGTATATAAGTCTCTCCTGGACGTGCTGCCCAAGGGCAAGTTTGTCCCGCGCAACTACTTCCAGGACATATTCATGCACTACCCCAAACAGCAGGAAGTCGCTGTCCATCTGCTCTGCAAGATGGAGCACAACTCTGTGATGCCAGACTCGGAGATGGAGGATATGTTGCTGAATATCTTTGGGAAACATGGGTTGCCATTGAAGAAATTCTGGAGGATGGTATACTGGATGCCCAAGTTTGCCAATCTGAATCCTTGGCCTTGTCCGAGGCCAGCACCCAAAGATCCGCTAGTGCTTGCTAGACTTGCAATGAATAAGATATCCAGTGTGGATGTGCAGACCAAGATTACAGAGTTTAAGACCAAGGACATAGAGGATGCCATTGATAACACGTGGATCGTATCTGCAATGAGTAGTGTGCAGGAGGAACTTCTGCAAACCCACTCCCCTAATAATCCAATTTTTGTTGAAGGACCATACACAGTTTGGGTTGCAGATCAGTGTATAGATTATTTTGTCCTGAGGGGAGAGGCCAAAGAAAAGAAAAATGATTATGAAAATCCTGATGGTAAATAATTAACTAAATCCATTAATATCCATTAATATCCATACAAGAGTAATATTTCATCTATTTTGTTACAAGTTTTTTACAAATTTTATCATTTTGGCTATAGAATAATGAAATTTTCAAGTATCCATAATCTATTATCTATTATAGGTGTATCTATAAATTAATTGTAATAATATAAGTTATTATTATTATTAATTTTATTATAATATTATAAATTAGATAAACGTACTAAATATTCAAATTATTTTAATAGGAAAATACTGATATTATTTTTCTTTCTTGTAGATGTTTCAGATATTAAAATACCTTTCTGGGACAAAAAAGAAATAATTCCTGCTCCTACGGTCCACGAGCAAAGCGACGGCACATATTTCGCAATGTGCGCCACTGGCACATCCTCGAAGGATTCTTTGCTATCTTGGATACGATGTTTGCAAAAGACGAATCCTATTTTAAATGTAATTCCAGTGGTATTCAAATTATCATCGTCTATGAAAGATCCATTATACATCGATAAAGATGAAAATGATGATAAAAACGAAATAGTGCAAAGGGACAATCGATAGAAAAGTGTAAATTATTAGATCATTAAAGAATTATATAGAAACGATGATAAATAATCTCACTTATGTAATAAATTGACAGGCGTTTCTGTAGATAGCGTATATAAAAAAATATAACGTTTTTATGCGTTTGACGTCACTTTCTATTTAATAGTTCAATCTACTCAATAGATTCTAAGTTTACTTTTAATAATAATTATAAATATAAAAATAAATAAATATTTAATAATTTCTATATTTAAATAAATTAATATTTCTGTATATTAATATTTCTATATATTGCTTTTAACTTACCGTTTATTTTTACAATCAAAAAGATCTTTATTTCCGTGGCTATAAAAAATATTTATTCGTCAATTAATTTTAAAAGTCTCATGTTTAAAGCAAAACGCATAATCTTGTTATACATATAACTTATGTTGCAAAGAATTACTATAATGTAATAATAAATAAATAATTAAGATAATAATAAAGGCTATATTTTTTACTAGAATTGGAAAAAGAATAAATTATAGAGATAGAGAATTATAAATTATATAAAGAATAAGTTAAATAAAAAAACAGATTAAAATACAGAATTAATTAGTAGGAATAAATAAGTCAATCATCATACTTCAAGATTTTTTTTACCACAGTTATGTTAAAAGTACATATTCTTATTTATGAAGTATTTATATAATAAAGATTTATGATTTTCATAGTATATTATTTACACGTTCAAATATTTATGTAATCTTTGGACGTATGTGATTAAGCAGAAATATATCAATAGTCGATAATATAGATACTTCTCAATAATATCTTTAAATTTCTAAAGCCTTTTTGCTGCTCACAAAAAAAATTTTTTCCGAGTTTGATCACAATTGTTATTTTCACATCTTCAAGAGCGGATGAGAGTCCGTGATTGCTATTCAAACATTTGAAGATAATTATTTCCGAATCAGATTGCATTGCTTCCAGCTATATTTATATATCATAATTATAAAATCTGATGTTGAAATTTGAAACAAAAATAAAAATAAAGTAAAATATAATTTATAATGAAGTAATAACAAAGTAAAGTATAATTTATAATGAAGTAATAACAAAGTAAAGTATAATTTAAGAATTATTAAATATAACTCTTATTTCCAAAATTTTTTTTGTTTTCATTATGAATTTTCACAAATATTATTCTAGTAATCACATTATCGAAGCGCAGTCATGACGTATGAATATCTAGATGCAATGTATTTGATTCGAAAGTAATTATCTTCAAATGGAAGAAGATATTGTTGCACTATCAGTTTTGAAAAATCTATACGTAACATAAACTGTCCATTCTCAATCATTAACGTGTGTAGTATGGTTTGAAACACGTTCTGACGTATCCTACGAGTATGTTCCGCTTGGCGCTCCGAACGTCTGAATTCGCCTATCCTTGTTTAACATTCGCCGAGGAAACAGAGATGAAATGATTTAAAGAGCGTCGCGAGTGTCAAATGGGATGCGGCCTTAAGTCTATAATGCGGTGAGTCCGCGGTTTTTCGCGAGCGATTTTTATTTCCCTTCGACAGCTGACGGAAAGATGCCTGTTGACATTAATCGACTGACGGAAGGTTGGCTAGAACTGGAAAGCGACCCAGGTATGTTGTCAGTTTTGAAGCGTATCTGTCAAATCATCTGTCAATGATCCCACGTCTATCCCGTAGCTGGTAGAAAGCGCGTGTTTTGCGTCGTAAATTCGTGCGAAGTTATGAAGTTTCTCATACCTGTTCAGGCCTATTCACGCTGCTTCTGGAAGACTTCGGGGTGAAGGGTGTCCAAGTCGAGGAGATTTATGATCTGCAGAAATCTTTGGAAGGACCAGTTTATGGTTTTATCTTCTTGTTTCGATGGATCGAGGAGCGGCGATCCAGGCGGAAGGTGGTGGAACAGGATGAGAGCTTCGTCAAGGATGAAGAGATTGTTAATAACATCTTCTTCGCGCAACAGGTTTAGTGTACAATTCTTACTTGTGTCAGCGTACAAATTATCTTTGTAACATAATGTTATGTAACTGCCGCAGGTTGTTCCCAACAGTTGTGCTACTCACGCGTTGCTCTCGGTTCTGTTGAATTGTCCAAATATTCATTTGGGCACGACCCTATCCCGATTGAAAATGCACACTTCTGGCATGTGTCCAGAAAACAAGGGTTGGGCAATTGGTAATACACCAGAGTTAGCCTGTGCGCACAATTCACATGCTATGCCCCAGGCAAAGAGACGGCAGGACAAGAATACCGGTGTCTCTACAGGCAGATTCACTGGCGAAGCTTTCCATTTTGTGAGCTATGTACCAATAAACGGCAGGCTCTTTGAATTGGATGGTTTGAAGCCATATCCTATGGATCACGGGCCATGGAAAGAACATGAGGAATGGACGGAACAGTTCAGACGTGTGATAACTGATCGTTTAGGCATGGCAACCGGTGAACAACTGCAAGATATCAGATTTAATTTAATGGCTGTTGTGCCAGACAGACGTCTTGCTATTTCACATAAGTTAACGATGTTGAAGACTAATAGGCAAATAGTCCTAGAGGCTCTACAGCAATTGATGAAACTGAGTCATCAAGATGGCGGCAGCGCTGAGAAAAATTCGCATAAAGAGATTGATTCCGATAAAGAGAAACAATATGAGAAAAGAAACAAGATCGAGGATGAAAATGGATTGCCCACTAAAACAGAAATTGAAGAATCGCCTACGATTCCTACTATCAATGTTGAGAGAAATAATGATTCAACGGTGGTTATGGATGAATCTGGCATCACATCTGGAAAAACCGAATCTAGGTAGATAACAATCAAACATTTTATTTGTCTAACGCACTGTTTAGTTTTGCTATAATCTTCAGATGATATTGATTTAAACTCGAGAGAGATGTAACAGTGAAAAATAATTGTATAATAATTGCATAACAATTTGTAAGTTAAAAACTGCTTTGTTAATCTTTTCAGCTAGAAAGTTACAATCATACTTTATATATTTATTTATAATTAAAAAATTCGAAAAGTGATTATTAAGTCTAAATGCATCATCGGTTTTTAAATATATTTATTTGAAGGCTTCATTTATTTCTTTATAACTAATCTGTAAAAGCTGGTATTGGCGTTATAGTTTTGATATAAATTCACATTTACTTTTAGTGGAATGGAGAAAGTAGTAATGTGCGCTTTGGATTATGCCACGCCATTGCGAATTCAAACCTCGCCGGCTCACAGTTCCTCAAGTACGGATACCTCGTCGGAAATCGGATCGGCCTTCAATTCGCCCACTCAAGGTAAAAGAAAAATGGAAGGAAAGAAGAAGGGAGATACTCGTTTTACTCTCTTCACAGCGATGCGTCACATAGTCGTCTGGTGGTACACACTCTCTTGCTCTGACAAAATATCAAGCTATTTGGACAGGTCATTCGAATCGATTCGATTTCTTCGGAATCCGGCGTACTGTAACAGATGTAGTAATGAGAATCGGAAGCAGGATCCTTGATCTTTCCAAGTTCCTGACACAATCTCTCTTCCCCGGATGCTTCTCCACTGGGAATCGTCGAACTCTCGGTCTCGATACGTTCAACGAATATTTCATTCTCAGAATGCATGTCGCTCCCGCATGCTTTCACGCTCTCAACATCACAGATTCGCGAGTATACGTTAAAAGCCGTATACAGCGGACAGGAGTATTCTACCACGACGGCTGTTTTCGGATCACACATATAATACCGGGCACAGTCCGTCCTGTTCGGCAGGCGAATATTCTTCGTGCATGCCACAACGCTGACGGACCGTGGCGTTAATCGATGCGCCACGGCTTTGTATCGTTCGATTGTGAAGTACTGTTTGTTTCCAAGATTATCGCTGATCCTTATTACGTTGTTGTCAGGATCCAGACCGTTGATTAGCAACTCCAAGGTACTTTCTGTCGAAACGGTACCATCCGTCGTCACGACGTTGGCCACCTGAGGTCCGTTACTTCCGCTTGATTCATCATTATGTAATTCGTCTTTGGCGCAGCTGTGCGTGAGATAATTCAACGATGTATTTTGTCTTTGATTGTATGACGCGATTATGACGGTCTGAATTCGGTTTATAGTCGTAACGTCTTTGATGGGTATCGTCAGGGTACTCGATATCACAGCCGACAGTTCCTTGTAGACGTCCAACCGAGTCATCAATTCGTTCAGCCATTTATAATGATTGTTTACGATATCTTTATATTCCTGCATTAGCGACAATGGCAATTGCTTTTGATTATTCGTGTACAGATCATTTTCTCCTTTCTGATGCGATGCATTTTTCACGGTTTCATTTGATTCTTCAAATTCGATTAAGGGATACGCGGTCACTGCTTCAGTTGTCAGGTCGGAGAAATTGTCGATCACGTAGGACGAGTCGATCGTTTTGGAAAAAGAATCCTGCGAATATCCTAGATAGCTGGTATCCGTTGAATCGATCAGCTCGGACGTCCCGTGCTTCGTCACGGAAGTCGGCTCAGTTGAGAGTATGTCGCACGTCCAGATATCACCAGGGACCACGCACATCCTTAAATACGGCTGGAATACCTGAAATCGTATTTCACAGACATTCATTAGCAGCGTCATTTAGAATATCGTGAGAATTGAATGGTTCATCTGTTTATCTCACCAAGCCTTCGATGCATTTCGACGGAACCCATACATAACCACCACCGGGCAGATTCACGCAGTTATAGAAAATCGTGCAGCTCGTCCGATGTGGCTTCTTCGATTCCGGACATCTAGAGGAATTTGCCTGGCAGATCAGGCTGCACGCGATTAGGAGGACCGACGCGAACCGCATTCCGTGTCGCGACTGCTACAGACCGCATCATGCGTGTCTGCTCAGTACTGGAGATATTGTGTACTTTTCACACACAATTTTTTACACGCGTATATACTCGTGCATCTCTGCGAAACGTCTCGTTTCGCACCTCTTTCACATACAGTTACTTGACCTGTCTATTACGCAGTGCCCGTCTGCCCGGTTTCCGATCGAGCGGGATTTTGGAAATATTTTAAAACATAGAATATAAAGAGGTATTTTGAGATCGTTAGCAATAATTTCGCGAACTTTGGACTTTGAATCAGAGAAAAGGAGACTTTAGAATATTTTAGTATCAGGTTGATCCTCATTCTGATGAGATAAACTGAATATTTACGAAATATTGGCATTAGCAATAGTTTATGAAACGGTGTTAATTTACAAACTATACAATTTTAAAAGAAATATTTGTGAAAGCTCGAAGAATATAATTATCTTGGTATCTCTCTTAGCTTGGGGATGGAATTCCGGTCAGAGCAGCCCTACGTCAACAAAGGACTTCAAGAAATTTGTAGTGATTAGAGTCGCTGGCGACGAAAAGAATGAGGCGGGTCTGAGTAAGTAGTATCAAATTTATTCATGCAGTTCAGCGCGATTTATAGATTATTTAATATGTAACTGTGACGTTTACAGGCCGTTCTTTGGGAAATATCAATATAAATGGGAAGAGATTGGTTTCCGACAGCGGCCATTTACACAAAAAAGTTTGTCTGTCAGGTGAAGTTAGAATTCCTCACGCGAGGGTGAAAACTAGCAACGGTGACACAGTCATAGAGGAGAAAAAGGTTGAGAAGATCGATCCTAAGCTGTGCTCCAAATATCCGGAATTGTTCGAGCCGCACACATTCGCGCCAAAAGATCTTTTGGCGCTGCTAAAAAATTTGGAGCACGAGATCAGCGTGTGTGAGACCAGCCTGAAGGATGAGAACGATAAACGGAATAAATACAAGGTCGGTCGTGCACACTTTGCGTTTTGCACACGAAGCGCTTGCTATTTTAAAAGAGTTTGCAGTGAACCGATATAACAAAATTTCAAAGTACTTTCTTTATTATTATACATTCCAGTGGAACATTTTATTATATTCTTATTCGTTTTTATCATCTCTCTCGTCTTTCAGATCGGATGTACTGTATTAATTCACTATATCTAAATAGCTTATTTCGACTTAGTCATGGAAGATCTATCATGGTTCTCATTATTTATATAACTTCTCATTTCATCTTTTATACTGATAATAGCAAATATTTATTAATCTTATTTATATATATATATATATAAAAATTATAGTTACTTGATTTTTATAGTTACTTGACATTGATTAAATTATAATTACTTGATTCTTTTTATTAATGCTACTGCTCATTTATATAATTTATACTTTTGTATTTTAATGTTTATATATTATGCATACATTATATATACACTGCTGTATACTAACGCTTACTAACTTTGTATCAATTATTATCATATTTATATCATAAATATAACCATTACATGGATGCTTGCGGGAATTTTTTTAAAGAAAGACAACAATATACATTATAAATTGGATATATGCGCATTTACACATGCAATTAAATAAATCCAAAATTTATAAATAATTACGCATTTATCCCTCGTGAATAAAAAAAATTATATAAAATTTAATTTTTTTATTTACGAGGGATAAGTGCCTTTATTTTTTTCCTCCAGACATCCGTGCATGTAACATTATGTATTATACTTTTATGATTTGAAATATATTTTTATCGCTATATTATGTTTTGTATTAGTAATTGTTTCATTTGTATTCTTTATACAAATTTTTGTTAAACCAGTATATCTGTAGTCTCGTTTATTGTTGTGCAACTATTTATTACTAATTTGTATTTGTATATATTTTAAATTGTATTTTGTTCACTATTGCACTTTTAATAAAATTATTATTATATACCTTTTCATTCTTCAAGAATATAACTTATAATTCATCGTTGAGCGTTTTGTTCTCGAAGAATTACAGAAATCGTGGGGATCTTTCAGATCGATGATTGCCGAAGAACACACAATTACGATGAGTTCATTTGTACTTTCCTTTCGATGCTTGCTCAACAGGGAAAATTGGCGGAGTTAGTTCAACAGCATCTAACATTAAAGAAACACTCTTCCGTTTCGGTGAATAGAGTTCACAGGTAACGTTCTTGTATAAATAATCGATATTTAATCACTTCATATCTCACGAAATGGATTTTTTGTAAAGTATTCATTAAGCTAGTTAATTATTTTTCTGAAGTCGAATTTTGATTCCATTTTCAGGTCATCGAAAAAGTCCGACACCCGCCAGAACTCCTCTCGCAGACGGCGTGGTAGAACAAAATGTAAAAAACGAAAGTAATCTTTAACTGTGGTAACTACATGGCTTAGAATTTCATTCCGCGCGCATCTGTTCGGAATTACTTGAATTGCTTACTATGAGCACACGCAAAACACACGTACTAAAAAATCATTTGGTACTTTATATAAAGAGGCCATGTATATAAATTATGCGTAAATATTTTAGGGAATGAATTAAAGTCTAGAAGAAAAAAGTCATATAAACATAGATCGTTTATTTTTTCTGAATTGTAATAAAATATTAGAAATAATCATTTTCATATGTTTATATGATATTTTATTCTTTTTCGGTTTCAAATTTATCCTCTAAAATATTAACGTCAACCATGTGTGTCACCATGTATAATTTCTAAATATATTGCTATGTCCATTCAGAACCACAGACTTATCGTTAATTTGATGTCTTTTTTAATATAATGCAAATCTTTTTTGACGACAATATGACTGATTTTGCAACTCAAAAATGTTATCGTAGATATTGCTTATATTGTACAAACTACTTTACAAATATACATTACTTGTCAAAAGTTTAAGAACACATTTTTTTCGATTAAAACAACAAATAAGCTTCAAAAAAATATTTTTTAATAAGAAATATAAACTATTATGTTAATAAAATGTTTTTGAAAGCTCATTTGTTTTATAAATAAACGTAATAAACGTGAAAGCCAAACAAAGGCTGAACAATGTTTATAAAATAAATAACAACAATACAAATATACAAACGTTTCGATGTAATTTTCAATTTAAGAAAGAAAAAGTAGTGTATACTCAAATTTTTGACAAGTAGTATATGTATACATACATATATTTTTTATATTCTTTATATAATCATATGTGTGGTATTTAATTGTCCAAAGTTGATATTTACACTTATCGCAATCTATCTACTTCTCGTAGATATTTTCTTTTTGTGAACTATATTTCGTATAAAATATAGAAGTTACTAAAAAAGTATAACAGTGTGGCGTTTCCTTCTTTCTTGTCGAGAGGAGGAGAAAGAGGAGAAGCGGAGGGAAGGGCAGGGCGACGGGATAATAAAGAGCTCCAGGGGAGGGGCTTATGTGTCAAAAACATTGAAAATATTTATTTATCGATATTCATATACAAGTACACTACACGCGCTGTGGATATGTCCCTTAAAGTCTAAATACTTACATCTCCGAGCAGCCGGAGAAAGGAGAACCAAGCTTATTAGATTGGTTGGAATTACGGTTGTTTCTGTTTAATCGTAAAACGGACGACGGGTCATCGATCCTCGCCTCTAAGTCGCTTTACCGTTAGTGTAGTGCATAGGAACTGTAGACGAAACGCGCTCGCGAACGATCTCGCGGGGTATAACGGGGAGAGGGGGGGGCGGGAAGAGAGTGAAAAAGGAAAGCGGAAGGGGATAAGAATATCGGTCCTTCTCCGGCCGAACCGCTCCGACGGTCCTCGTAACTGCTTTTTGGCAAAAAAAGTGCGATCATATAATATGTACATATAATTTGTACAATGTATATCGGCTCTCTCTCTCGCAATCGCGTTGTCGTGATCGCTCGAGGCGAGCAAGGCAAAGACGTAATCTGGTTGTGTGTTCTACGTAAAATGTGTGTCCGCATGTGTGTGTGTGTGTGTGTGTGTGTGTGTGTGTGTGTGTGTGTGTGTGTGTGTATTGTAG